TCAAATGCATATATAACATACTGTACACCCATTGGTATTTAATGTCTCTGAAACGCAACATCACTTAATTTTATATTGTGAATCTTATGGCTATACATCAGCATTTTCTATGATACAGTATGTTACCCTTAAGTCCAAGTTGATAGAGAGTTTCTTAACATGTATCTCGGGCTGAATGAGCTGTTTCTTCAGGAGGAAATACAGAGATAAGTATTTAGAACTTTAACAAATGATGTCACAACAGATTTTCATAAAAACTTTTTATCAAAGTCCACCAAGCATTTAACAAGCAGGGAGGAGAGGGAGAGGAACATCGGGAGCAAGAGAGAACCAAGTCAATATCAGTTCCACCCTCAATTATTGTTCTAAATGAATATCTATTGCCAAAATGTGTGTAGCACTACCCCTGGAGGAGTTGCTTGTATTTTTGCCCAGGTTTTCCCCCTTTTTTTGCCGCACAGCCAGGCAAAGTATTTTTCACAGCCAGGTACACACCTTCTTTCGCTCATTGTCATCAATGACCAGTCTAGGGGATGTTTGTTTTTGGAGTTTTATTGTAGAACTGGGGATAGGGATTGGGAATTCAGTAGAACACTCCAAAATTAGAACTATCCACACTGAGGATATCTAGCTGATCTCTGAGCACTTTTTGAAGTCCTGGCTAAAAGCAGATAGCAGACTTCTCTTCTAATTGTAGTAACAAGTAATTTAGGAGTGAGCAAAGTCCCTTTAGCGGTGGTAGTAGTTGCAGGGCTGAGCTCCTCAAGTACAGGCCTGTTACGGCAGACTGTGGCAGTCCAAAAGTAATAGAACTGAGAGAAGTCCTTTGCAGTAACAACAGTTGGACAAGCTCTTCAGAACATCAGCCAGTGTTCCCTTTTCTCAGACCCACGCTGACTTTCAAGCACCAGAGGGATAGGAAAGCACACAGAGTCCCCAGCATCTCTCAGTGTCTGTACTCAAAAGTCCAAGGACAGAATGGCAGCCTCCTTCCAATCTTCCAAGCGACTCTCTCCAGTGATACCAGACTGATCTTTGGCAGACAGCTCCCCTTAGTCTGATTTCTGTAGAAATGGGGTCACTCTTCCTAACTTCAGGCCCTCAGATTGCTCACCTGAGGCCCACATGGCAGCAAGTACCAGGCAAGTGCAATCCTCTAGAGGGAAAGACACTGAACCCATGTGCTCACAGAACCTAAATACCACTCCCAGTATGCAATGGGGCCACCCTTCCCTGCAACTGGCCAGGGCTGTATCCATATTCATGCTGCTCATTTGCCTAGTTCCCTCCCAGGCTCTGGAAGGCTCTCATAGCTTCCAGAAGGTGTGCAGAACCCAAGGCAAACTCAGCAGCACCAGAGTATTATGGACAGACCTGACTAATCCATCACAGCATTTGTGAAGCAGACAGCCCAATTAGATTTTCCTAACAGTCTCTCTGTTAAGCAGAGAAACACAGCTATACTTATCCTAGCTAGACAAATCCTACAGTAGCACCTAAGTAGGAGGGTGTTACATGTGTGATACATATGTGCCCAACACGCATTCCTTTGGTTTTGCCTCAAAGGAGTCCATACCCAGAGGAGCCTGAAGCCTTTATATGTGCTCAATGTCCAATCTCGTCTTCATCAATGGTGAATTGCAATTTATACTGGCCCTGTGTAGTGCTATCAATTGGCTCTCCATGTGTGTGTACTATGAGTGAGCACCTACAATACTCCAAGATGAAAATGTTAGAGGCGGGGTCGCTGTAAACTGATCAACACCCCTGAGGTACACATAGGAGGTAGAAGTGGAGATAAGCACACAAAGCCTCTGTCATGCCACAGTACAGCATCAGACAGTAAGAAAGTGTTGGATTCTTCTCTTTTTCTGTTGTTTTGATTCTCTGCAGTTTATAAAATGATTGGCCATAGTGAGCCAGTGGTAATTACAAGTAACCCAGAGCCCAGAAAGCTATCTGCTGGTAGAATAGAAAAATAAATAGAGGGTCATGTAGTAAAGGAATAGTGCATGTTCAATTTATAAACTAAATGAGGTAAAGCTTATAAATCAGATGCAAGGAAAAGTCCTACTTTTTGGGCATAATTTAGTAAAACAGATTCATAATACCTACTAAAAAGCAAACACACACTGTGCAAAGTCAGCTCTACTCCTTTAGAAAATCAATCCCATGAAATGCATAAGAACTATTTCACATATTTACCAGACCAAAAAAGAAAAAAACTCTTTTTAAATGTTTTATTACCAAACATAAAAATAATAGAAATATACGATATATTAAGAATGTTTTACTATAACATTGCTTAAATTCAATCAACCGACTTCAGTTTGAAGCTCAACTTGTGTTCTAATGTTTGTATCCTGGTCTCCAGAGAACAAATTATACAGCATGTTACCTTGTTGGTTATGCCATTTCCCAGATTGGAAGTCACTCAGTTCCTTAACAGCTGTCCTCCCAACATCTGGAGGAGGTTTCATTGCTAAACTCTAGTGAGAGAAAAGGAGTGACCTCAATGTAAGAACATCTAAGAAGTTCACAAGCTGCAACCTATGCCTACTACCGGAAGAGAGGTGAAGGGGACAACTCCGCGAGTCTTTCATGGAATGACAGGAGCAATTCAGAATACATTTACATCCAAATTGTACTAAATGTTTCCTGAAAGTGAAAGACAAGATATGGAAGGTGAAAACCCCACATAGTAGAAGGAAAAACTTTTGAAGAATAAAAGGAAAGGACAGGAAATACTTTAGGGATCATCATATTGCTATAATTAAAGGTGACATGACTGAATAAATTCTATCTTTAACCTTTCTGAGACCAGAGGTAATGGTGCTCAAACCAGACCAGCATCAATATGCGTTACTTTACCATAACTCTCAGCAGAGGCATAACTAGAACCTTAAGGGCCCTGATGCAAGAAACCATGAAAGGCCCCCCTAACCCCCGGCCTGGGCCCTTCCCTCCAAATCCGGTGGTGGAATGCCAGGGCCCAGTTGCAAGTGTGACCATTGCGACCCTGATAGTTCTGCCACTGGTGTCAGTATTTTTTTATTTTATTTTTTATTTATTTTTTATACCTCTTTATTTTATTTAAATTTTTTTTTACAATATTACGTTTTACAATTTTTTTAAGAGCCTCGTTGGGGGGTTTTGATGAAATGTCAGGGATCTAAACAGACCTCTGGTGTTTCACCCTTGAGACAGAGAAAATAAATTGTGGACACAGCCTTCAATCTCCTTCACTACAGCCTCAGCAGCACAGAATGAATGGACAGGAATAGCTCTGTACTGAGCTTCCCGTTCATTCACAAACTGAAGTGCAGTAAACACAATTTACTAGTTTTTTGTTATGAATGGACAGAGTCAGTGATCAGTATGGATCACTGACTCTATTCATTTAGACAAGGAAGAGGCCAGTAATGACACAATTATTGGCCCCTTCTCCGCTTTACATCCTGACATTTGGCATGAGAGGGGAGGGGAGAGCCCAGCAGTGCGAGGATGGGGGGCAGCAGAAAGAAGCTGGATAGGAGGGGTGGCGGCATATAGGGGAACAGACCCCTTCCATCTTCCTCCTGCAGTCGCTAATTGTCTGTAGGAGGAGGAGGAGGAGAGAAGAAGCAGGCATCCATCAACTGCAGGATAAAGAAGGAAGGGGATTGGTTCCTCTATATGCCGCCCCAGCAATCCCTTCTATCTAGGTATACTGCATGGGCCCCCGGAGCATGGGGTCGGGTTGCAATTGTGACCCCTGCAACCTGAGTAGCTACGCCCCTGACCCTCAGCCATTTTTTGTTTGTTTATCGAGGAAACACAACAAAAAGAGAATGGAAATATCTCCAATGGGAGAGAAGATGTCAGAAAGAGTAGTTGACGCTTCAAACAGACTACCAGCAGAGTTATTAAGTCAGTCAGCAACCTGTAGATCCAAACATACTTGGGTCATACATAGATCTATACTCAGACCTAGAAAAAAAAAAAAAAAGAACTCCCCCAAAAAAACAAAAAATAAACTTGATGAGCCACTTGGTCTTTTTTCTGCCACTACTCTCCTATGTCCCCTATTAGAAAGATGTCACTGAACAGCTCCCTCTAGTCGAACATTTCATCTCACCTCTTGTTTTGGTGCTATAAAACTTTAGCTTTCCCATAACTTTTTGGCCCACTGAGGATGATCACCAGGACAAATAAAGACGGTAAACATTCAATGGGCCACAAACAGCAATACAAAGCACTATAGAGTACTACCTCACAATCTACAGACCAGAATCAGGTAAGGATATGCAATAAAAATTGCTAAAACCCTTGCAATATATATTCCTGTCAGGGAAAAAAGTCTCCAAAGTTTAAAAAGTAAGTCTTAGATTGTAAGCTCCAAGGATCAGGGCCCTCTTAACCCTCTTGTATTGAACTGTATTGTTACTGTATTGTCTCCCGTTATATTGTAAAGCGCTGAGCAAACTGTTGGCGCTATATAAATCCTGTATTATAATAATAATAATTCTACCAAAAAGGGGTATTTAGTTATGGATGGAGCCTGGTGAACTGGATCATTCTCTGGCCTCATTTGCCTTTGGTTCTTAACCCCTTCACGCCGCCGTGAAGAGGAGTTCCTGCGCCCGTAGGGGGGCGGGGCGGCGCGTGGTTTAGTGTGATGTGGCTGCCGTGACGTCACGTCACGGCCGGTCACATGATCGGTAAAGGTCCCGATCAAAAGAGCGGACCGGGACCTTTCCGTGAGTACCTCACATGTGTACTGGGAGCGCGCAGGGCACATGCTCTAAGCACATATGTTTTTTGCTACATGAACGCAAATGTGCGGCCGCTCGGTGTCTAGGCCCAGACGCCGGGAGGCCGCACATTTGTGTGCGGCCAGGCGTGAAGGGGTTATGATGCCCAGCACCAATCATATTTAGGGGAATTTCAATTATAGTTGTTATCCCCTAAAATCATATTTAGGGAAATTTCAATTATAGTTGTTATCCCTAATTTGATACCAGGATCGGACTGACAACTCATGGGGCCCCTGGGCAATAGGGGATCATGGGGCCCCTGTGTCCTTGCCCAAACTCAAAAAAGCCTATGAAAAAGGTACCAGGGGCATCTCATGGGACCCCCTACTGACCCCGGGCCTTCGGGCAGTGCCTGAGTTTGCAAATGGTCAGTCCATCCCTGTTTGATACATAACTTGAACAAAGTCTAGGGTGAGACTGAATACTATCTACATTTATCAAGTGTTAATTTGTACCGCAAGCAAGCATCTGGACTGAAAGAATGCTAAAGCATACAGTGACGGTCGTCTGAGGCTCATACGGAGTAGGCTGACACCAGGGGCGGACTGACCATTTGGAAACTCGGGCACTGCCCGAGGGCCCGGGGTCAGTAGGGGACCCCATGGGATGCCCCGGTACCTTTTTCATAGGCTTTTTTGAGTTTGGGCAAGGATACAGGGGCCCCATGATCCCCTATTGCCCGGGGGCCCAATGAGTTGTTAGTCCGCCCCTGGCTGACACTAACATATTTTTCTTTGAATCCATCCAATACTGTATTCTAAATCTTTGGGAAAACCATTAGGAGACATGTGCGGAAGGACTGGTGACCTGTGAGCTTTCTCCCTAATTTTGCAGATGTGAAATTAGCCTAATGAAAGAGTGACTACGTGAGTTCAGCATTACAGCAAGATGGTGCATACTGTAACCATTAGGCACATGTGGTTGTGTGTGCTAAATCTTGACAAGGAAAGGGTTTGTAAAAGGCTCGACTTTGATTCATTGTGGAAGAAAGAAAACTAGCAGGATAAATGAAAAAAAAAACACCACCCAAACATAATGTGATACAACAGACTCCAACAACCACTGGCTTTTCTGCTTTGTGGATTCTTCTAGAGTGCCTTGCAGTAACGTCAGGTGAAAGCAATTACACTTACCTAAGAGGTTTCCGCAGCATTTTGCATTTTGCAGAAAAGCACTACAGTCCATTTAATATGATTTCGTATAGGACAGGTTCACATCTCCGCATTTTCACCTGGTGCGTTTTTTGGAATGGATCAGGAACTTTTTAAAAGGCAAAAAGTTGCGTTTTTGGTTCTATAGACTTCAATGGAAATGCTGCAGAAAAGCATGTAGTGCGTTTTTGCTGCATTTTTGCAGTTTTGCCTTTAAAATCTGCCTAGCAACAAGAAAAAAAAAGTATTAAAACTGTGGCAAAAACGCAGCAAAAATGCATGTGCAAAAACGCACTGCAGAAACGGATCAAATGCAAACTGAATTGGTGTGAAGTTTTGCAGGGCAGTATTTTTATGTACATAGGTGAATGTGCATCTTGCAGTGCGCTCCCAGCATAAACACAGGTATGTACAGGCAGCAGGAAGGGGTTAAAATTTTGAAAATCTAAATCCCCAACAAATGGCTGGGGATTCTAATTTTTTGCCTCCATTCCCCCCCACCCCTCATCTGGTCGCCCTAAGGTGGCTACCTAAACTGCCTTATGCTGCACTTATGTATGTCTTGTTGGGCCATGCAAACCTACAGTGTTTCAATAATTGAAAAGAAAAAATGTCACATTAAAAAAGAGGACCTGCAACTTTTGGAATGTCCTGTTAATTATTTTGAAACAATTTTTGTATACTTCATGTGCGCAGTTTAGGGTGTCCTTCACATATAAATAATTTCTAGGTTGATCTTGCCTCTAAGCTCTGTCATCCCTGTTAGCAAATACCCTTGTAATAAATTTTAACATGTATGTATAGGAATAATCAAATTCACCCTTTAACCTCCTTTTCTCCCTCTAGATCATATCCTAGCATTGTTATTTTCTTTTACCATAGCAGGAAACAGCTTTTATTACTCCTGTTGACATAATCAACAGGCTTGTAAAATCTTTGCAGGAGCAGCTGGTGGGAGCTCAATTCCTATTGACCTAAGCACATCCCCAGAACTACATCACCCAAGAGCCCTTTATCTACACACAGTGTGGTTGGTTTACTAAAACTGGAGAGTACAAAATCTGGTGCAGCTCTGCATAGAAACCAATCAGCTTCCAAGTTTTTTGTCAAAGCTTAACTGAACAAGCAGAAGTTAGAGAAGCTGATTGGATACCATGCACAGCTGCACCAGATTTTGCACTCTCCAGTTTTAGTAAATCAACCCTAGTATGTGTTTGTGTATGTAGAGTGAGTCTCTTGGGAGTCAGGGCAACAGCATTGTTTTGCTGGGAAAGAAATCAATATACGCTTGTACAGCGGGACAGAGCAGGGTGATCTGTGTAGTAATGGGCAGAGTACTGTAGTCCAGCAGGCAGATCAGGAAATACTGCCTGGAATGTTGGTGCAGAAAGCGCATTGGGCTTGATTTACTAAAACTGCAGTGTGCAATATCTGGTGCATCTGTGCATGGTAGCCAGTCAGCTTCTAACTCCAACTTGTTCAATTAAGCATATACAGTATATATATATAATTTATTTTTGTATTTCGCCCAGACATATAGGAAGTTAGGAGAAAGTTAGGATGGCTATCTTCCTGTATTGCAACTTTCTTAAAGGGGTAAAGCATGGGGAAATGTGCATGCATTGTGGCGATACATATATATATATATATATATATATATATATATATATATATACACATACATACACTGTGCGCACAATTATTAGGCGAGTGAGTATTTTATTTTGACCAGATCATCATTTTTATGCGTATTGTCCAACTCCAAGCTGTTTAAACTTGAATGCTTACTGGATTTAAACATATTGGGTGATGTGTATTTGTGTAGTGAGGGAGGGTGTGGCCGAAGGGGATCAACACCCTATATCAAGGTGGGCATAACTATTAGGCAGCTTCTTTTCCTCAGGCAAAATGGGCCAAAAAAGAGATTTAGCTGACTCTGAAAAGTCAGAAATTGTAAAAAGTCTTTCAGAGGGATGCAGCACTCTTGAAATTGCTAAGATATTGGGGTGTGATCACAGAACTATCAAACATTTTGTTGCAATTAGGCAACAGGGTCACAAGAAACATGCTGAGAAAAAAAGAAGAATCAAACTTGAAGCTATCAGGAACTCATTATCCTCCAGTTCTGTCATATTCCAGAACTGCAACCTACCTGGAGTGCCCAGAAGTAGAAGGTGTTCAGTGCTCAGAGACATGGCCAAGGTAAGGAAGACTGAAACCCGACCACCACTGAACAAGACACATAAGTTGAAATGTCAAGACTGGGCCAAGAAAAATCAGAAAACATATTTTACAAGGTTTTATGGACTGATGAGATAACAGTGACTCTTGACAGATCAGATGGATGGGGCTGGATCAGTAACGGACACAAAGCTTCACTTCGAGTCAGACGCCAGCAAGGTGGAGGTGGGGTACTGGTATGGGCTGGTATTATTAAAGATGAGCTAGTTGGACCTTTTCAAGTTGAAGATGACTCAAAATCAACCCCTAAACCTACTTCCAGTTTTTTGGAAGACCCTTTCTTCAAGCAATGGTAAAGGAAAAAGTCTATATCTTTCAAGAAGACCATGATATTTATGCTGGACAATGCTCCATTGCATGCATCGAAGTACTCCACTGTGTGGCTAGCCAGTAAAGGCCTTAAAGATGAAAGAATGGCATGGCCTCCTTCCTCACCTCACCTAAACCTTATTGAGAACTTGTGGGTCCTTCTTAAATGGGAGATTTGTGATGAAGGAAAACTGTCAGAAATATTTTATGCAAATTTTGAATTGTTTATTATTTTCACTTTAACAGATGAAAATAAACAAATGAGATGGGAACACTTCCATTTTTCATTTATTTGCATAATAATTCTGCACACTTTTAGTTGCCCAATAATTGTGCACACATAGATATTCTCCTAAGAAAGCTGAAACCTCACTTTTACTTTCTTAAATATTCAGGTTTGAGGTTTATTGACATTTTGGATTGACCGAGAGCACTATAGTTATTCAATAATGAAATTAATGCCCAACAATACAACTTGCCTAATAACTGTGCAGTGTGTATATATATATATATATATATATATATATATATATACCATATTTGCCGGCATATAAGACGACTTTTTACCCCTTGAAAATCTTCTCAAAAGTCGGGGGGTCGTCTTATACGCCGGTATATGGCATACTGACACTTTTTAGGGGGGCGGCGCGGTGCCGCCGCTACCCCCCCTTCCAACGGAAGGGACACTAAGTACAGGGGTGGGCAGGGGCTGTTTCTTACCTGGCTCCGGACCCACGACGATCCGGTCCAAAAGGCGCGGCTGCTCCTTCAGTTTGGCCACTGGATGTTCACGCGGCTGCTCGGCTCCGCCTCCTCACGGTGATTGGCCGCCAGAACTGTAGCTCAGGAAAGGCACACAGGTGGCCAATCACCAGCGAGGGGGCGGAGCCGAGCGGCCCCACGAAAATCGAGTGCAGGAGCAGCAGGTAAGTGTGCCGTGCAGAGGTGCTGCTGCAACCACATATGCTGGCTGCAGCAGCACCATACTAGAACAGGGTCAGCAAGTGTAATTGGTGTCAGTGGGAGGAATAGTGCCCCATCATTGGTGTCACTGATACCAATGATGGAGCACTATTCCTCCCACTGACACCAATGATGGGGCACTATTCCTCCCACTGACACCAACGATGGGGCACTATTCCTCCCCCCCACTGACACCAACGATGGGGCACTATTCCCCCCCCACTGACACCAATGATGGGGCACTATTCCACCCCCCACTGACACCAATAATGGGGCACTATTCCACCCCCCACTGACACCAATGATGGGGCACTATTCCACCCCCCACTGACACCAATGATGAGGCACTATTCCACCCCCCACTGACACCAATGATGGGGCACTATTCCACCCCCCACTGACACCAATGATGGGACACCATTCCTCCCACTGACACCAATGTTGGGACACTATTCCTCCCACTGACACCAATGATGGGGCACTATTCCCCCCACTGATACTAATTATGGGGCACTATTCCTGCCACTGATACCAATGATGGGGCACTATTCCTCCCACTGATACCAATGATGGGGCACTATTACTGCCACTGATACCAATGATGGGGCACCTATTCCCCCCATTGATACTAATTGATGGGGCACTATTCCTGCCACTGATACCAATGATGGGGCACTATTCCTGCCACTAATACCAATGATGGCGCACTATTCCTCCCCTGACACCGATGATGGGGCACTATTCCCCCACTGATACCAATGATGGGGCACTATTCCTCCCACTGACACCGATGATAGGGCACTATTCCTCCCACTGGTGTGCATTGGAAGAGGGGTAGTCTTATACGGCGAGTATAGCCCAAACACTACATTTTAGCAGGAAAAGTAGGGGGTCGTCTTATACGCCCAGTCGTCTTATACGCTGGCAAATACGGTATATATATATATATATATATATATATATATTCTTTTTTTTTATTTTGGCCAGACATACACTTTAACCCCTTTCTTGTTCAAATAATATACTGGTAAACATAAAGAAGCACATGTGTAACAAGAGAGAAAAACATTCTTCACACATCCAAAAACTCACACAGGGGCAACAACAAGAAAGTATAAGAGTGTAAATAAAACAGTTTTATCTGCCTATTCAGCAAGAGGTGAGCTTACTTGTGGGTAGAAAATAACCAAAGGCAGTGAATAACAACACTTCAAAAAAATAGATTGCGCTTAAATACATACAAAAGTGTAACAAAAAAATAAATAACAAAACAATAAGAAACAATATTTTAAATCAAAATAAAATCCAGCAAAAACGAAAAAGTCCAAAAGTTCAAATGTCCAAAATAATTCATCACCAAGTAAATCCACCACCAAAAATGGTTAAATAGAACTCACCAGAGTAATATGCTGATTGTTGAAAAACCAGCATATAGTACTTATTATTCTGGGAGAAATGAATAATATGGTGACAACAACACTGAAGAAATGAGGGATGAACTCCAACAAATGATGTGCTGCAAAGTTGAAAATCCACTCCAAAGGTGATTTAGTATCCAAACTGAGAGATGATCAGACCGTCACTCAAAAGAAAAAAGCGAACAATCATGGTGCAGTATGTTTTAAAAAGCATCAAACTTTAATGAAGAAATGCACTTACAAGCAAGGTGTCCAGACTGACACCAGTAGAGACAGCATGTGTAATGAATACAGGCGACTCAGACCCAGCCAAAACATGCACATGCCCTAAGCTTTTCGTCATCGACGTCCTCATGGAGCGGCACCGTGAGGACGTCGATGACGAAACGCTTAGGGCGGTGCCTTTGGATGTGAGGTTCAGAATACTCCTGGTTTGTCTGCACGTAGCATGTGCATGTTTGGCTGGGTCTGAGTCGCCTGTATTCATTACACATGCTGTCTCTACTGGTGTCAGTCTGGACACCTTGCCTGTAAGTGCATTTCTTTATTAAAGTTTGATGCTTTTTAAAACATACTGCACCATGATTGTTCGCTTTTTTCTTTTGAGTGATGGTCTGATCATCTCTCAGTTTGGATACTAAATCACCTTTGGAGTGGATTTTCAACTTTGCAGCACATCATCTGTTGGAGTTCATCCCTCATTTCTTCAGTGTTGTGTTGTCACCATATTATTCATTTCTCCCAGAATAATAAGTACTATATGCTGGTTTTTCAACAATCAGCATATTACTCTGGTGAGTTCTATATAACCATTTTTGGTGGTGGATTTACTTGGTGATGAATTATTTTGGACATTATTGATTATTTGAACTTTTGGACTTTTTCGTTTTTGCTGGATTTTATTTTGATTTAAAATATTGTTTCTTATTGTTTTGTTATTTATTTTTTTGTTACACTTTTGTATGTATTTAAGCGCAACCTATTTTTTTGAAGTTTTGTATATCCTATAAGTTTATAGGCTAGGTTTTGCAGCTTACTGTCTTATATAATTTCTGTGGCACTGGTTCTTTATTTATATATAATGAATAACAACAATCAGAACCAACTAGTTGCTTGGTACGTAAGGGACTTACAAGCCCTAGAAGGGGTAGATATGGAGCAGCCATAAAAACCAGAGCCTCAATAGGGTAACTATGTGAAGGCACTGTAGCATCAGGTCCCTAAATCTGTTTGCTATACTGTGCTGACAGGCATTTTCTACAACAGATCACAGTGTAGTAATCGGGAAGTAGAAGAAAAAATGAGGAAGGTAGTGGGAGGGGAACAGCAAGGAAGTGAGGGGAGTAAGAGAAGAAGGGAGAAAGGGAAAGAAAAGAAAGAGGAGGGGAAAGGGGAGGGGACCCCTGGGAGCAGAAATGGTCATGGAAACTCATAGTGGTACCCCGAGTACATGTACACAGCGGACACATCAAGGAAGCAATAATGACTTATCAAAGTTAGCTGGCAAGTAATGTGCCACCCAAGGACTCCATGACTTCTCATACTTACTCTGTTCAGGTAAACAGCCCCTACTTTCGTGTGTATCATGGCCTGAGTAATCCTATGTTTAGTTTCAAGTACACTAAGATGAGGCAATTTCCAGGCTTTTGCAATGGTTTGTTTTGCTGCGGTGTTTACCTGTAAAAATAGCTTGAATTAGCGAGAGGTCATAAGTTACATAGTTAGTCGGCTGAAAAAAAAAGACAAAAGTCCATCCAGTTCAACCATTAGAAAAAAAAAAAGTTATAATCCTACACCCACAGTTGATCCAGAGGAAGGCAAACAAAAACAGCAAAGCATGATCCAATTTGCTCCTGCAGGGGAAAAAAATTCCTTCCTGATCCCCCAAGAGGCAATCGGATATTCCCTGAATCAACTTTACCTATAAATGTTAGTATCCGTTTATATTCTGTGTATTCAAGAAAGAATCCAGGCCTTTTTTAAAGCAATCCACCGAGCTGAGTCTATTCCACATTTTCACAGTTCTTACTGTAAAGAAACCTTTCTGAATTTGGAGATTAAATCTCTTTTCCTCCAGACATATAGAGTGCCCCCTTGTCCTCTGTGATGACCTCAGGGTGAATAGCTCCACAAAGAGTTCACTATATGAACCACTGATGTATTTATACATGTTGATCATATCCCCCCTTCATCTCCTCTTCTCAAGAGAAAATAATTTCAGTTCCTCTAATCTTTCCTCATAGCTGATCTCCTCCATACCTCTTATCAGTTTTGTTGCCCTTCTCTGCACTTTCTCCAGTTCCCCAATGTTCTTTTTGTGAATTGGTGCCCAAAACTGAACTGCATGTTCCAGATGAGGTCTTACTAATGATTTGTACAGGGGTAATATCTCTCTCGCTCTGGAGTCTATACCTCTTTTAATACAAGAGAGGATTTTGCTCGCTTTAGAAACCGCAGATTGGCATTGCATGCCATTATTAAGCTTGTGATCTACCAGAACCTCCAGATCCTTCTCCACCATTGATTCCCCCAGTTGTACCCTCCTAGTATGTATGATGCATGCATATTCTTAGCCCCCAAGTGCATAACCTTACATTTATCAACATTAAACCTCATTTGCCACATAGTTGCAGGTCTATAGGTTTTTCATTGAGAAGAGCCATTGCTGGGTCTATGGCAATCGGAATGCCAAAAAGAGTGTTGAGTATATAAAAAATCTCTGTCCAAAAAGCTTGAGCTATTGGGCATTCCCACCATATATGGTGGTGAGTACCCTCCGTAGTACATCTGTGGAAGCAGGAAGAAGAGTAGCTGGGGAGAAATTTTGCGATCATGGCATGGACCAAGTACCATCTCATGAGGACTTTATAATTCGTTTTCATAGCTAATATATTTTGTGAGGATGATTTTGTAGCTGACCAGATTTCAGTCCAGTTGTCTACCTCGAGGTGAAGTCCAACATCTCTCTGCCATTTGGAAATATAGGGAAGGGTGGTAGGGGACAGTGGAACAACCAGCAGGGCATATAATGTGGAAATAAGACCCTGGGCATGTGGGTCACACTTACAGGTGCATTTGAAGCCAGACGTATGATGGAGGGAGGAGTCCCTTTGTAAATAAGGGGTAAAGAAGTACTTGATCTGAAGATGTCAAAAAAGCTCAGAACCTGGAATGCTATGGGTCTTGCAAAGAGTTGGAAATGATGTGAAGGAGGTAGAAGTCATGGGTTTGTAAGTGCGGAAGAAGTTAGCAGAATACCATGCCTGGAAAGAGATAGGTGAGATCCAAGCCGAGTAAAAGGTCAGGTTGTGCAAAAAGGATAACAGTGGGTTGTGAGGTGATTGGAGGCCATTTGGAAGTTTGAGCCTGTTCCAAAGTGCTAGATAATGCAGAGTGATCGGATTGGGAAGGGTCACGGAGCCACAGCAGGTTGGTGACTGATAGTGGATCGCAATTCACCGACCTAATGTGTACCAAATTGGTATCTATGTTACCGTGTGATGCTTAGACAACTGAGCCAGATGTGCTGCTTATTAAAATTCAGTGGAATTCCACTTTAACCCCTTTATAACAACCTACTGCATATACGTGGCAGCATGGTGGGTTAACCTTAAAATGGAATTATACTCACCTTTACTCCAGCAATGTCGTCCCCTCCAGTCAAATCTTCTCCCTGGGCTTCTTTCAGGTTCTACTATTTGGCTGTTTTGATGATTGGGCCAAGTTGATGTCACTCCCGCGCATGTGCAGGAGTTCTTGCATCTTGGCAGAAGCCGAAAAAGCATGCGCAGCTCAATGTACAGTGCAGCCAGG